GTGGACAAAAGAACAGTTTTGTCTTACTTATGAATCTACATAAACTTTTGAAGTTAGCTTACAATCGAAATATATCGAAAAAATGAGAGACTCTTTCCTTATCGGTTATTTCATTTATGCAGAAAATATAAAAAATTAGTAATTGGCATTGTGCATCCACGGCGTGCACTTAATATTATAATCAAAATGTCATTAATAATAACTCTATCCATCGTTAAAATTGATTAAAATAGGAAGAATAAAAAAAAGAACTTTTTTCAAAGTTCCAATTTATGATCATTACATTTATAGTAAATTAATATTTATTCTTGTAAACATTAACCCTTAGCGCAGATGGTAGTTTTGAAGTTGTTCCTTAAAGGGACACTAGGAACTTTGTTCCCACTTTACCTTAAACGCATACAACTTCGTTCGTAATAATCGTGTATTTTTTATTTCTTTTCCACATTAAAATTCAGACGATTCTGAAGAATATACTTTTTTTTGTGATATTGATTGATTAAATACAGCTTTTATGATTACAAACTAGAAAAATGACTTTTCTGACGTTTTTTTCTTATCGAATTCTAACTTAGCGTAGAATGAAGATAAATGTAAAAAATAGGTCTGAGCACACTTTGTCTGTGCTAACATGACGAACTTGCCATTAGTAATTAATTAATAATCCCATTAGTTGTTCATAAGAAATTCAAATAGTTATAAACAATGTGCAATTGCTAACATCATTCTGTTGAAAGTATCCACATTCATATGATATACATATTACTCAATCGATAAATACAATTTTTAATTGTTTATAACAAATTCATATATAATAATGTCTAGTCGATATTGACTTCATTTTCGAATAAAATTGGTATTCTTCCGCTTAAAAGTATTTTACAAAGTTGATTTTTTCCTTTATTTATGATTAGTTTTTTTGTTTTAAAAAAAAACGCCTCGACCGAATTCGTTCAAATTTCTTCCAGATCTTCTTTATAATAATATCTTTTGAATAAATTTTGGTTGAAGTCGATATCTTTATCCGTTCTTGATATATCGAAAACGAAAAAAATGCTGACGTCTGTACATACATACATACATATATACATACGTACGTACACACACAGGATCTATCTTTTTCTAATAGGGATGTTAGAACAAGGAAACGCTGCCATAGATGTTATTTGAAACGCAGATGGCACTATGACTAAATTTCAATCATCGAAAAAAAAAACGAAGAAGCAAGAATTAATCATGCGATCTTCGAATGGGTCCCATCGTATATAAATATTAATGAAAACGAACGCGTGGTCATAGCAGAGCCATTACTAATGGCACTAATGGTACTGAAGAACCTACCCCAGTACAAATGTTCAATAATGATGCTGATAAGTTTTAGTGTATAAAGTGGAATTGTATTCGAAAAAATACCAAATCAGGACTACCCACAATCAAAGACAACAGATGGTAAAGAACTGTCTAACAGACAACAGAAGAACACAATACATAATTACAAGACTCAAAATTGGTCATACTTATCAAGATTAAGAGTAACACAAAATTTCGTATTCCGTTTCTTCCTACGATTTTGTTTTCTCCTTTTACTCGAAAATTATGCAAGATACAAGCGAATTACTTTTGCATTCGCTATATAAATCATCAATAAGCTTCCATTTGCTGCATAAATGATGTTTTTTTTATTAATTCAGCCAAAAGATATTCGCCTTCGAAGATTAAAAGTTGGAAGTTTTCTGAAATATCTTTAGCTTTTTTTGTTCCATGGATGAAAGTTAGGCGTTAAAAAATTTCCAAGTTATCAGTTACTGATTGCAATTTGTAATTTATGTTTATTCTAAATCTGACCTTCAATGTCCATAAAACTGTTGAAATTCATTAAAACAATCATCATTAGGTATGCTCAAGAGATTTGAGTGCGTAAATAATTATCTTTACATCATTCAAGAACGCATGTGGTGAAGCTGCATAATCCATTTTTATGTCAGCCAGATGGCACGACTATTGATTATTGGTTGTTATGTTGATGATGTCATAAAAAATACTAAATTAAAAAAAAAAAAACCAAGATAATAATTCATTTTACGTATTGTTGATTCGTAGACTTAAATAATTGGCGTCTAATGATTTTAAAACTTTTTGTAGCTCTATCACTATCATTATTTATTTTTGACGCACGTTTCTGTATAGCTGAAGAGAAGAACGCTGTTTTGGATGAAATTTTACGATTTTTTGTACATACTTTAATTACTTGTATATTCACGCTCGAGCAAGAATAACTTGTTACCAACTTTACAATCTGTTCATGAGAAAACTTAATAACAATCAAACACTCTGATCACCAACTTGATAAAAAAAAAAGTATCATTATTTCATAAATAAACTCTCATTTTACTCCATTTTTGCGCAAAAAATTTTTTTTTTTCCAATGTTGTATATTATAAATGAAGCAATTGGGGATACTTCATAGTATACTTACTCGAAAGCCAACAATTGCTTTTTGAGCGAATTTCTGATTTCAGCCCATGACTATGTTAGAAAAAAAAAAAATTTTAATTTTAAGAACAATAACCTACAAAAAATTTTATGATTTGTACAGAGATACAGTAGTGACTCGTTGTAATGTGATGGCGAGATAGCGGCGATTTATGCTTGGCGCACAAAACAATACCATACCTTTTGATTCAAACAATCAACATTAAGTACACTGAGAAGAATTTTTTTTTCATTCTGCTAAGCAGCCCAGTATATTTCACGGGGACACTGCAGTACTTCAAGACCATATGCGTGCGCGTTGTAAAATTTAATAAGCAACTCAGTAAAAATTTTCGGGTAACGAGAGCAAAGAGTTGCTTTTTAAGACTTGAGTGAAATTAACCTCAATCGAAGTTAGAAATCTGTTTCGGATCTCTAAGTCCTAAATTCATGTGCAAGGATTTTTGAATAGATAAGAATACTCTGCAGACTCGCTTAAATTTGTTTTGGAACAGCAACTCTTTACTCAGAAAAGAGTTTGGTTTTATGAGCCATATGTATTGAATTGGCACTTGTCTTTTATGACTTATAAATGACTAACAAACTGCAGTGAATAGTATTAAGCATACTCGTAATCCATTAAATTCGTATATCTTAGTTCAAACAAGTAATTTATGCAGATTTTTATTATTTAGAGCAGACCTTTCTACCTTTCTGATCATTAAAAAAAATCATATTATATCCTCAAACATTATATTTTCAATAAAATCTTACATTTTATCTTTTTTTGAATTCAGCTTAAGCTTGAAATTTTAGATTGAAGACGATGGAAGGCATCGATGAATACAGGTGCATGTTTTCCGTGTAGATCAACGAGTAATGCTAACGTATCGATTCTAAAACGTAATAGAAAAACTCTTTGACCTGGATTTTCTTCTCCCTCATGAAAGTTAGAAAGTCTAGTAGTAGTAGCTGATGGCTTTTAGAGTCTTCGGCCAGCGAACTATCGTTGCAAAAGAAAAGAAAAATTCAAGGTTACAAAATCTCTGAATTTTTCGATTGGTTGGGCCTTCGTGTTTACATAGATATTTTTGTCCCTTAAGATATGTCGTGTTACGCAGGGGCAGATTATAGTTTGTCGTGCCCCATTTCGTACTGCTTCATATAGTAGTCTAAATATGGGTACTCCGAACACGCCGAGCGCGAGATGCGTTAGCGACCGCCGACCAAAGCGGATAAAGTTGGTACTACGTGAGGCCAAATTACAAGCCTTGTGCCTAGGGCTGCAAAGTCAAAATATGATATGTAGGACTAGATACTGGCCAATTGAGGTCGGACTCATAGTTGCATGTCGTAAGGCCTCAAGCTAATTACGTGTATCTCCGTGCCTGTTTCAAAGCGCAGGTATACGCGTTCCGGGAAACGCCATCGCGAAGAGAGTAGAGTTATAATTTCCCAGAGGTATGTCCTAGTAGGCGAGGAACTCGATACCCGTCCTTCGGACGGGGAAAGCGAGGATTTTTTTTTTGATTAGTTGTGAAAAGTTCTTCTTATTGAACATAAATTTTTAGACATATAATAAAAAAATATTTCAACTTAAACTTAAACTTCGAAAAAATAATTTTTTGAATCACTCCGGAATATCTGATTTAATTACTAGTCAGGTGGTCCTGATTAAAATAACCTATATCGAGCAGATTAGGGTATTTTACAGGATTCATACGAGGATCTTGATTTTTCATTAATAATTCGTAGATATACATTACAGGAAACTCTTTTGTTTACTCTCACTGACACATGTATTATTTAAAATCAACTTAATGTAAGTCAAATAAATTACACCTCATTAATTTTCATTTAAATCAGGTCCGGAATGGGATAGATTAGAGGTCCCCAAAAAGAACTACGATCAGGTCATAAAACATGACCGGATTAGGATTCTGTAACAGGGTATTTTTTTAAAAGCCTGATAAGAACACTATATAAATACTATATTACAACATTTCATACTAGGCCCTGATCCGGTCCGGATCACGTTAACGCATGCCCTTTTTTATTTCTACTCCGGGAAAAATAAAATGGAAATATTCAGTAATAACATAATAATTTAATTAATACGATTAGCTTTATATTTAAAAAATTCTCATTTTGAACGAAAAATTTCTATTTAGTAATGTATCTGTAAAATCGATAATAGTTTTGGTGAGAATGGTCATAAAATAAATTATTGATACAAAAGACTCTTGTTTACTTATTGTTTTAATTAGAATTTTTTCCGTCTATCAATTATCTAGCTCACGATATAAAATTTTAATTTCAATAAAAGTTTTTGGTTTATATCCATTCCATCTTTATCTTCAAAACCGAAAAATTATTTTCCATTATTTTCTTATAAGTAACGATTAAAAGTCTCTGGATTAGCAACCAATCGATACAGATCTTTGATAAAATATATTTTCACAGTGAATTCATACTTTAGAAAAACGTTTAGTGAAAGCATAAACATATTAACGTTACAAAAATTACAGGAGATGAAGTAATCAAGTGGAATAGTCATTGTCTACAAGATAAAAGTGCTGAAGAAGTAGCAAATATTATAGCACAGTCGAGAGATGATACTCAGGTGGAATTAATAGTTGCTAGAAATCATTTAGATTCAGAAGATAGTCTGATTACAACAGCATCTACTTTACCTATACGAACATCTACGCATGCCCAGTGGAGGCAAATGAATGAACATCTTTCCAAAGGTCAAAAACCACAATATAAAGGTAAGTATTTCATTCAGCTTGTCACACTTAAGTCATGAAATTCTCACCGATACAGTCAATTTTAACTAGTATCTTACATTAGTAAAGAAACTTTATCTTTTTCTTGTAAATAAAATCATTGAATTTCCAAAAAAATTTTTGGAAGAATTTCCATGCTTGTCACTATAAAGCAAGTGCAAGTAAAAAGTAATGAAAATTTTCTACAAATCAGGAAAAATTTCATTGACGCATAGTAATTTTTACTTGGTCGATAACTTTCACACAGATTACCATGAAACGTGGAAATTGTTTCTAACATTTTAGCTCCGTGTAGTTAGGCTTGAAATTTTTAGTCCATATAGTTGAATGTTTACAATCTGTTATCAACGATAAGCAATATTTACAACTGTTATGTTATGAAACTTTTTAATTGATTAATTATTCTAATCACTTTTAGATCAAAATAGGTTTAAGATTTCTTTGAGGTAAATATATACTCTTTGAATGGAGATTGCAGTACAGATGTACATTTGTTGCATCAGTATTTTTGACCTTATTTTATGGGAGCAACAACTTCAGAAAAAAGACACTATTCGACAAATTGGAAAATACTGTGATCTATTAATTTTTTTTCTCTTCACTGTGTTATTATTTTTCTATTTATTATATCATAAGTCTTCTATATGTCCGGTACCTTCTATTCATAGTTCGGTCAGTTCGTATTAAAATTCTCTAGGCTCTGTTGATACGCAATTGGAATATATATTAAATTTCTATTTTTTCCAAATAATTGTAGAAAACATAATTGTTTTTAAATTTTTCGTCTTCCAATACGAAAATAAATGTACATTATAATAATCTGTATATTTATTTAACATTTCTCAAATAACTTATGGATTAGTAGGTAGTTTTGGAAATCGTGTATTGATCCATGTTAAAATATATCATTTTCATATTGTCGATTATATAGCATCGGTAAAAATATGACCGTTTAACATGATTTTAGTCCATAATAAAATGTTTTATTTGCAAAGCAAATCGTTTAACGCTATAACTGTCAATACCATACAAAGTTTAGTTGATATCAAAAGAAAAAATAAAAAACATCACTGATCATAAATATTTTAAAACATTTGTATTTGTTAATACTTTTCTTGACTATGTATTATAAACGTTTAATGAATTTTAAAGTAGTTCACTCGTTCGGAAGTTTGAAATATATTTCTGAACGAATGTTTCCGTAATAATTACTGTTTATGACGATAGTAAAAAGTTATCAATAGGTCAAATAATATTTACAATTTTTAGAGTTATATGATGTTCGAAGAGGAAAACCATCGGTATTAGTGACTTCACCAGGATCACCGGATTTACACGCTCAAGGACGTGGAGGAAATTCACATCTCACGAGCAATCTAAATGTTGGTGGGAAGTTACAAGTGAAACTTGGCTACATTTTAGCCAGTAAACGTCTGAGTATAACTATCTTCTGCGCCACTGATCTTATTCCAAGAACTAATGGTCAACCAAGGAATCCTTACGCAAAAATGTATCTTCTCCCTGATAGAAGGTGAGTTATTCATTTAACGTTGTAAAACAACTTTCACTTGTTTTTTCTCCTTTTGGAATTTATAGTAGAAAATTGAAAATAAAAACTGTCGTGTTAGATCGACTATTGTTTCTTATTCTCAGCGTGGAATATCGAAACACTATAAATTCAAAGCGTGTTACAGTAAGCATATATACATATGTTCAATTTTACACTTTGTAAACGTAATATAGATTTTAACACATCTAGAAGTATGTTCTGAACTGTGAACTGATTGCAAGGTTCTGTCGTTTGTACATAAAAATTAGGTTATTTTCTACATTAATTGCAAGATATCCTCCATACTGCTTCAGAGCTGCAGATGTAACGTCCAGATTGATATGTTTACGCTAATGTGAGCAACAAAAATTTTCAAAAGGAGAGCATTATAGGGAACGATTCATTGGTTATCAATATCACGGTTTCGGATGGTGGTACTATACTTACGCTGTTCTGGCGATTGTCGACGATATGTGGGTTATCCTTCATCGCTACTAGATGCTTGAATTCAGGATGACTTCGGAAATTTTTTGCTGCATTTGGAATCTCGCATACATGAAGAATTAGGGTTTGAAGTCCCGCAAGGGGCGTGTACCATGTGTTTCTTCGTCGTGCTTATGATTGGTAGAATAAGTGGCAGCGTTGCCAAGTTTTACGATGTGAATTCTAGTCACGTCCAGATTGCATCATTATTCAGTTAAAAAATATTTGATACAAAATAATGGAATGGTAAATAAATTCTTTTTTCTTACAATTAAGTAAAAGATTTTTTAATCTATCAAAATTATTTTTGTAAAATAATCTTTAATTATTATTAGCAAAAATACTATGAAAAGCATTTCCAGTACTCATTTCCTATCTCTACAGTGTTTAATTTCTATTTTTTAACTGTCAATATTTCGAAAACTAAGTGATTGATAATTCAAATAAATTCGTTCAGTTAACATAAACTATTGCAACTGTAAAAAAAATTTGTAGTGAAAAATCTTTAATTTTTTATGCACGAACCTCTTTAATATTTAAAACACAGTTCAAAAGTTGCTGAAAATGAGGGGTCTGCAGATTTCCGGGTTCTAGTGATCCTATCTGAATAAAATTTTAGAAGAGAGCAGAATGTATGGTTCGTAGACGACGTACATCAAAACAATATTTTTTCATGAAATTTACAACAAAAATGATAAATGAATATAAAAAACTGAAATCAATTGTTTAAAAGCCTATAACAGATCAAAATCAAGTTAATTAATTTCATATCAGACATCTGTGACTGCAAATACACTAATTTGGATCGTAGTTATTTATTGCTTCCCAAAAAGAATTCTATGATTTCTTTACAGCGACTTTTTTTTGTTTACCTATAAACTGTCACTTATAATTAACAATATTTTTTATCATTGAGAATAAGAAAAGTGTCAAATAGATACACAGTCCGAATACTTCTTTTTTACTTTAGTATTGAATTTGACAAATTATTTGTGATTTCATTGATATTTAATAATAACAAATAAAGTGCGTATATTAATAAATGTTTGTATTGTTTAAGTTTTTTGTGTTGTTCAAATGAAAGTTAACATTTGTTAGTTTTAATATTATGAAACGTTCACGTAAAAAACATTATGGCAAGAGCCATTAAATGTGAAGTAGCGTATAAGCACTAAGTCAAAAACAAACATTCAAAAAAACGTGAGTACGAATATTTTAATAATAATTTTCAAAAAATCTCAACAGCCCTAAAATCATTAAACGCCAATTATTTAAATCTACGTATCGACAATATTTAAAATAAATTATTTTCTTCGGGTCTTTTTTTTCAAACAAAATTCAGTAGATTTAATGACACAATAAACAAAACCAAAAACTTGGCGTAACTGTTAAGATTTTATAGAAGCATAAAATCTTGAAATTATTTAAGCCAATCAATAAATAACAGTCACGCCAAGTTTTTGGTTGTTACGTTTGTTGTGTCATTAAACGTACTAAATTTTCTAGTATACTTACTCGAAAGCCAACAATTGCTTTCTGAGCGAATTTCTAATTTCAGCCCATGACTATGTTAGAAAAAGAAAAAATTTTAATTTTAAGAACAATAACCTATAAAAAATTTTATGATTTGTACAGAGATACAGTAGTGACTCGTCGTAATGTAAGGGCAAGATAGCAGCGATTTATGCTTGGCGCACGAGACACTAGCATATCTATGGATATCACAGCAGCGATTGACTGTAGAATTGAGCAAGATACTGGCAAAACTGAAAGCATAAAAAGTAATCGTCAAGATTGTGTGAATGTGCTGCATTATGTTTTTGAGAATCATGGAAACTGTACTAGTCATTTTCGCAAAAAAAAGTTAATAATGTTCCAGATATGATATAATATGAGTTGTGCTGCAGGTTGAGTAGGTCGACTTTTTCTTCAAAAAGTCACTTCTAGTTATTTGTTTTTTCTTCTTGGGGAACATCGTCAATGTATCTTCCAGATTAATCTCTTGAATGAGTTGTCTGTCATTAATTTCGTCAAGAGTTATTGTCTGGAGAGAGTCGGCTGATGAGTTGTACGTTGAGATGACAGAGTCTTTCTCTTTTTTTTTTGGCTGTAGGAGATCAACCGAGACCTAATGACTCTTCTTCCAGGACCCTCAACCCTCCTGAGGCCGAAACCTCATGTGCTAAGGTCATCCCTTCCGTCGAGTCACCAAAGAAGCATGCTTTACTTCTGTTAGCACCTGTAGAATTGCATGATTCATCACCCTTTATCGTTGATTTGCCTAGATGTCATGTGATCACACCACCACTTGAAGAGTTGACTGAAACTTGATGAGAATTAACTGCAATGAGTTGACTATGATAATGAGTTACCTGGTTGACTTGATGGTTGTGATCTAGAGTTGGATGCAGAAATGGCACTTCACCACCTCACCTCACTGCTGAGTTGTCTGCGATTTACGAAGACCATAATGATGTTACTTAATAATTGTAACTGAGTTGTCCAGGTACTAATTGAAACGTCTGTCTGAAAAAGGTAATGAAATAATATCACAATTAGCTCGTAGTAACAGGCACACAGATACAGTAGAGTTGTTCGGTGGTACACTGTATGTGTGACTGTCCGTGAGGCACTGTGGCGTCAACGCCAGCATAGTTTAGTTTCCACAGACACTAAACTGATCTTCCTGGACCACTAGAACTGATTTGACTGCTAATGATAGTTGACGTTTGTGTGGACTATTGGTCTTGAGATGTCTGAGATAATTATTCACAACAAAATTGAGTCTTTTTGCACAAAACTGAATAATTGTTGGTGAGAACGACTGTCGATTTGTCTGCGTGAGTTTCCCGAAACTAACCAACGCCACACGTGTCTGAACGCGTGCTCGATGGCGTCATTGATGCCGTAGAGTTGTCTGCTTTGCAATAGTCCAACTGACGTTCATCTAGCTGATCTTTGTAGAGTCGATGCTGCGGTACGGGGGTGGTGAATCATCGTGTGATGCTTCTGATTGCATATACTATACGTACGATCTGAGTTACACTTTTTTATGGAATGGTGACCGAAACAATTGAAACAGAGCCGAGAAGTCAGCACGAGTTTGTATCTCATGGACTCTGTCAATTTTTTGAATGAAGAGCAGTCTGAAAGGTAGTGATCAGAACTCGTACATTGATCACAAGGATAATCAGCTTTCTTCTGGTTGTGTTAAGATTGTCGATGACATGCTCGAGATGTCTGTTGCTTCTGTTGAGTTGGCTGATGAGTTGACTTCGTTGTTGAGCATGATGATGCTTGAGTTGGCAGCTGGTTGATCTGATCTGCTAATGAATCTGCAGCTTCAATTGCTCGTGCTTGAGAAGTAATGAACAAAAGAAGTTGGTTAAGAGTTGGCTGTCTGGTTGAGTCGAGTCTCTGACGGTTCCAGGTTTCTCTGAACTTGGAGTTTGAACGGTTGAGTAGTCTGAAGATTAATGGGTAGTCCCAGTATTGACTACGCACAAAATGTTTCCCAAAATTTCCCAAGTGAAGCAATTGTGTTATCGAGAAGGCCCATAGACGTCTTGGTTTTATCCATAGCAAGAATTTTATCTCTTAATTTTATGAGCTGATAACCTGCGTTGTGTTATGCTAAATCGTGATTCAGGAGATGGTGATCTTGACCCATGTTGTGATGAATTGTCTGGTGAATGAGTTGACGAACCTGATGACATAGTTGAGTCTTGCTGATGTGAGTTGTCTTGTGAGAATATGTTCTCACACGGTGAGTTGGTTCGTACACTGAAGTTCTTGTCATTTGACATGCTGAAGCACTGGTTAACAAGGTCACAATCACTGAATCAATCACTTAGATCATTAGAGATCACTAGAGTTGTCAAAAGTGAATTCAATGTTTTCTAAATCGTGATTATCGGCACTGGGGATAACACAACACTGAGTAGTCTGACTAATTCTGCATAACCATTACACTGATGCATGGAGAGTTATCTCTAAGACACAAAAATTACATGAAATTGATTACACAACTCAACATTAGAGAGATGACTGAAATTATGACTAATCACAATACTTTGCCACGAAAACTGAGATTAACTGATCAATTGATTACTTCAATGATCACTGAGTATATCTTAATCTGCACGGTGTACTTTTTATAACCAGAAACTTGATTTAATTCACTCCAATTATTATAAGGAGCCAACACGCTCACTGGTGATATTAAATCAATCACAAACTCGATTGACCCACTTAATAGTACACAAGAAAATAATCAGCTGTTTACTCATGCAAGGTCACTCAGAGAATTCGTAGAATACTGAAAAGTGCGCGCGAGCACGCTTCAAGACACTAAGAGTCGATCAGGCTAAGGATCTCTAAAGCACTACAACAATTCTGAGTGTCACTGGGCACAAGAATGCGTAAACAAGTATTGTTTGCAACGTTATTTACACCAAAAATCAATTGAGTTGTCTGAAAATATCTAAACACTGACTAAA